TGCTCGCCCCCGCGGAGAGACCTGCCGGCTCTGGCAGCGACCGAGCCCCTGCAGCCGCGTCCAGGCCGCTCTACCTCATCCTGGATGACAACTTTTATTACCAGAGCATGAGATACGAGGTGTACCAGCTGGCTCGCAAGTGTAATTCCTCTCTGTTCCTACGTGCAACAACGTTTTCAGCTTTGTCAGAAGCGCAGTGCCCTATAAGTGCCCTCATGGAACATTTGTTATTCTTCGTTGCTGGGTTCCTGCAGTGTAGAGTCGTAGAATCATAGTATAGCAAGCATCAACTTAACTTTGTTACTGTATTATTACAAATTGCCATTCTTATGGGCATAATCATCTATTTAATAAATTACCTATCTTATTAAAGCCTTTCTTAGGTATGTTGATCTCAGAAATTACTACTTGAGCAGCCCTGAAGGTAAAATTGTTTGCATTCTTTTTAGGCTTGTATCCCTTTCAGGCTTAGAACTAGTGTAGAAGTTCCTCATTCATGCAAAGCCTTTCTCATGCATGTTGCTGTCAGAAATTTTTACTTCAACAGTTGATAGGTAAAATTGTCTGTTTATGTTCTTTTAGATTCCTTGAGCTTCTGCCAGTTATTCTTAGACTGTCCGCTTGAATGCTGCTTGCAGAGAAATCGGCTAAGAAGTCATCCCTTGCCTGACCAGACAATATATTTAATGGCAAGAAAAATAGAAATGCCAGATCTCAAGAAAAATGCTTGGGAACAGAACAGCCTCATTCTGAAAAGTTCTGATTGCACTTCAGAGGATAAGTATGCTCCTGGATTGGTGTCAGGGTTTTTCACTAAGTACTGTTTTCATAAACGGGTGGGTAGAAGCTTTTTGCTGTATCTAAACAGTATGTCAAAAATACTCTGTATGGTGATTTTGGGAAGGTAAGCAGTTACACACCCAATACGTGCCAGCTGTTGGGAACTTGCAGCCATCATTCTTTGCAGAGTGAACCTCAAAACTAACTGCGTTTCTAAACTGTTGTTGAAAACTTATGTAAGTCGTGTGAAACATCAAGACTGGAAATTATTTGGTGTAGTTTTAGTTGGTTTTCATCTAACTTGCTGTATAAAGATTGTTTCATTGATTACCTCATAAATTTAACTGAAAACTTGCCCTTTTTTTCTGTGGTGAGGTGTCATTACAAAATGAAAGGAAAACCTTCAGTGAAACCGTTTGACTAACGTGGTTTACTCTTTTGTTTTCTTAGTGAGCAGATAATTAGTTTGCTGGCCACTGCTTTGGAGAATCCAGTGAAGCAGAACGAGGAAAACACTGAGCAAAAGGTAGCGCTGCTTGTCTTCACAGTCAGGGCTCTTTCAGGTGTTGGTGAATGGGTCAGTTATTCCCCAGTTGTATCCAGGGCACCGTGATGACCGAAACTGAGAAACAGTTACTGCATTTCTTGGTTACAAAAGCACGCATGGAAGAGTTAATCCTGTTTGAAATGGGTATTTCTGTCACCTTATTAAGTTAAACCACTGAACTACCTTTCAGAATACTGTTACATGTTTTAGAGTAGTAAAAAGATTTTGGAGGTGTCACATCACACTGAGGAGAGTAACTTCACTTCTTAACATCGCACATAGAACCATAGAATCGCAGGATGGTTTGGGTTGGAAG